AGAAACTGTCCCCCCCCCTTTTTTTTTTTTTAAATCTGTTTTTTTTTTTTAAATCCGAGCATTTCCCACATCGCATTCAGAGGTTTGAATAAAGGGAAACTTTCCAGTCAGCTGTGTTACTTGAAGTTGGCTGGTGTAACACTCCTGTGTATTAGCAAGACCGCCGAGGCCTGAGAGGATCTTAGTCATTATCAGACTTTTATGAATTGGGGATGTTAAAGCAAACAATGGATAGAAAAAGTATTTACAAGTATTTCTATCATGCATAGCGGTTTGTTTGTATGTCAGTTCGAGTTGCACCTTCCTAAGCTTGACTGTGAACTGTCATTTCCTTCTGTGTACCGTCATCACCACCATCTTTTCATAGCTTTCTGATAATGGAGAGCTCTTAGTCGATGCAGACGGTTTGAAGTCGTCTTTAGCAGCGGTCTGTATTTTATCTAACAAAGCTACGAACAGCCGGACCGCAGACAGAGGCTGTGGTGAACATGCATTGTTTATCTGAAACTGAAACATTAACCAGCGACTCTCTGTCCACAACTGATAGCCTTTTCCCGTCATGTAAGTCTGTGACCAGAAGGAAGGCTGCATCGCTATTAAAAGGTTAGTGCGACGAGGTTCATTCTCATTGGTTCGTGGAGTTTGGTGACCTCACTTCGATCCAGCGGAGCTCCACCGGTTCAGACCGAGCGCACGCTGCAACTCACGACCTTTTTCATTGTCGATCAGTCTGTTGATTACTTTCTAGATCAACTGATTAATCGTTTGGTCTATAAAGTGTCAGCAAATGTGAGAAATGTCAATTCCAGTTTCCATCCTCAAAGTCCAGGTGGATGTCTTTAAATGTCTCGTTTTGTGGAATAATATTAATTAATAATAACAATAATATTTGATTAGTTGACTAATCGCTGCAGCTGAACAGGCGGTCTAATAAGCTTGAATAAATGAACATATGCAGGGCTTTTAAAATATGCAGCTACACACGTGAAAGATATCGGTCAGATTATTGTGAACAACTTGAAGCTGAAACGGTTGATTGATCTTTAGTCGATTGGAATTAATTGGCAACTATTTTATAATCGATTAATTGCTTTAATCGTATTTCAAGCAGAAATCCAAAACTTTAGTAAGTTCTATATTCTCAGTTAAAAAACGGACTATCTTTGGGTTTTTAACTGTGGGTCCGACAACATAAGCAATTTAAACTCGTCAGGGTTTTAGCTATTTTTGGATATTTATATTATATTTATATTATATATATATTTACACATTCATCGATAATGAAAATATTATATAGCCTTACAATATAGTAACTCTCCTTGTGTGAGATTGATTCAGATTTGGGTAAATTTGAAGCAAGAGCATGATGTAAGCACCTAGTACAAAATACCGGTTTCTAAACCTTTGTACTGTATCACCGGTTGTAACAGTAGATGTGCCATTCTGCGAAAGCAATCACGGCACAGAGACGTGTGTTCTTTTGTCAGGGTTTGCTCTGTGTCTCTGTAGTTTTACGGAGGACAAACATTAGACTCTAAATATATGAAATGAGTCTGTGGTTAATCATATTAGTCTGATAGGAAGCCACTTCCCATGATCCTTTAGGAGAGTCATCACTCAAAGTTTCCGGACTTCACTGTAGATCCATCTTGATGGTTTGGGATGATCAGAGCTTTTCACAACCCAGTTTTCCACTTTGACCCTCATTGTTTCACTTTTATTTTTCCACCCCCCCGACTCCCCTTCGTTATGTTTGGCGAGTGAAGAGGACAGAGCGGGAGAGAAAGAGAGAATGGGTGAAAACATGGAATATACAGCAGTGTGGAGCAGCTCTCACTCGTTCAACATCTGTTTCCATTTTGGTGTTTGCTTTTAACTTTGTGCCAGAGAATATGGAGCCCCCAAATGCAGAGAGGGTTGTTTTCAAGTGGTAATTTGGCACACCCCACAATATTTTTTTTTTTTGCTCTCATCCTCATTTTAGTTTGGAAGCTGTCTTTGGTCATAAACCATACTTTCAGCCTGGAGGAAAGATCCACTAGTGCAAAAGATTCAGTATTTTTGGCAGTAAACTCTAGTAGCCTAGTTTTCCACTTGAGAATAGACATTAGACTCAGCCTTTCCTGGCTCCTCTTCAAGTATGAGAGTTGAAAATTCCCTTCAGAGCTCTGAGGCTTTTCTCCCCACATGTATAGGAGTAAATGTTTTACATACTTAATATGCCTTTCTTACCACAGGGTCCCAAGGAAGGCTAAAACATATTTGTTATACTTAGTTAGCATTATGAAATGAGCTGAAATGTAACAATATCTGATTTTAAATGGACCACAAAGGGAAGTATAACACCCAGAGATTAAAAAAAAAGTAACACTACACTAAGAGTGGGATGAATATGTTATTATTCCTAGCAATAGACATGAACTGCCCAGAAGTGAGTTAAGTTCTGTAATTAGCAGCAACCACTTTCCCCTGTCCTCACTCACCTCTTAATCATAAAAACACCATTTCTTGCTCCTGATTGGTTTTGCTGATTCTCAGCTTGGCCCAGTGCCACGATATGAAGTCATTGGTCGAACAGCTCCGGCTGCAGTTTCCCCTGAGTCATTGACAGCAGCTGTAGAGCCAGCAAATCACTGGCGGTCTTCTCTAATACACAACCCAGAGGCTGATGAGGAGTGCTTACACTCCGATACACCCTGTTTAGTTTCCCTCGGGAGTCCAGCTGCAGGCTTGTTAGCATGCAGGGCTTGTTGCGGTTTGATTTAATTGAGCTGGTGTCCATTTGCTTTTAATGGTTATTAATAAAGACAATTAAAAAGCTAATTAAAAGCGAGGACTGACTGTACTCCTGCGGCACTGTGGTAAATAAAATAAATGCAATGTCATGTTCTTGAAGTATACCGTTATTTCATTTAGAGCCGTGGCAGCTGAAAGCAAATATAATTTCTTCTTTTTTGAATTTGTGCAAAGTAGTGTTTGATTAATCCATTTGTCAATATGCGTAACATTTTAAAACTATTTTGATAATTGGGCATGCAATTCATTTTTCCTGGTAAAAACAACCCACCTTTCAACAGTAAACAACAAAACA